CAATACTGTGATTGTTTTCGTGTGGACCAGCTAAGCAATTGTGGCATTCGTTCACCAACTCGCTGACTAAAACGTTCCCCAATCTTAGGAATTGCCTTGTAGGCCCATACCTATTGCAAAAAGACAAACACAATAAAAATAACTGAGATTGTAGGCACGATGCTACAGGAGGGCAAACAAATCAAGCATGATACAATAATATTTAAAACATCTGTACCTGCATGGCAATGGAAAAGCCGTGAATCGTGTACGTAATCTCCTTCTCCTACCTCCTTTTCACCTTTTGAAATTTTTTTGCCCAAAAACCTCGGAATCCGTGCAACAAATGCCGATAACCGACTCTACCCCAAGGGTAGGCAAAAAATAAGTCTAGGTCGTCTGCAATAGATAGTGTACGCAATTGGAACCAACATAATTATCAGGGGCATTGAAAACTCCTTCGACTATTAGAACCAGCCCTAACTTGTAGCGATCGGCTTGGGTTGTCGAAGGGCGGGCAAAAGTAGTCTGGAGTTGCGCCAACGAAATCTTGTCCAGGGATTTGAAGTAACTCTCTTTCAACCTTCTCCTCTCCAACACTCGATCGAAGTCATCACCCCCGGGAATACACTGCATCTTAACCCCGTCACAAGAGTGTATTCCTGTAGGTCGAATCTCATCAGGTTGCCTTGCATGTTGAACCAAAGCTCGTTAACCTTATCAGTGTGAATGGTTCTGAACACTAACTGCTGGATGAGCTGGGCAGAAAATTGAATTTCTGGAACCTCGGCCAGATACCCAAAGGGGGAGTTGCGAAAGTCCTCGCGTCGTCGATCGTCGAAATGGTCCATCACGGTCTTTACGTACTTCAGGTTGCTCCGTTGCGAAATGTGAGCCCGCAACCTTGGATCTTCCGGAATACAAAAATCAAACTCATTCTGTCCTGCAAGGTGCATTCATAAAACCCACTGGGGTTACATGATAATCATAAACATATTGTATCATAAATAGTAGCTTAATGAAGCAAACTCATGCACGGACACATTGAATTGTCGAGAAAAATTGACTTCAACTGTCGGTACCGACAAATGATCTGTAGATATCTTTCGATACCGATAGATCTCCAAATAGGCATGAAGGTTAGCTTAAGTGTCGAGAAAAACTGAGGTGAAGTGTTGGGGACGATAGTTCACTGGGAATTGGGTCTGCCTTCTACAGTGAGCTATGCAAGTAAACACAGGAGACATGCAAGGACAACGAATGAGACCACCATGACTTCAAGATGAATGTAAAGTTTGAGCGTGTAATAAGACATAATAAAAACCACCAGCACTTAAGACTTGAAACTGTGCATGTAAGGAATGAAAAACTTATTTTCCCAAGTATATTTGCTTCCATAAGTAAGAGTCCACATCATGTTGGAACAAGAACATGTTAACAAATGCGACGACATCAAGAAAATAAAAAATAGAGCAGTAAATAAATGAGCTTGACCCTCTCAAATGTTGTAATACAAAAATAAAATGTCCAAAAATGAGGTTGTTCCCATTCACACAACGCATAACATAAACTCATGAATTGTAAGAAAATCATACCGTAATTATCATTTAACAAAACAAGGAATAGAGCAGTAAAATCAATGAAAATTTCCACTTACAATATTATCTGTTCATCTAATGAGTCGGTCTTTGAATGACAGGGACGAAAATATATCTCAAAAATCTCCCTCAGTAGCAGCCCTGTATGGTTGGAAGAAAGAAAGTGAAAAATCCATTCCAATTCAATTCATTGTTGCAGCATATTAACATACACATCCATACTGAATCATTTTTGGTGTGTTTGTTGGCATCTTTTTCAGTAAAAAATCTTAAAAATAATTTCATTTCTCCAACACGAAAAACTATTGGCACTTGTCATTTCCCTTCTTTAGAGTACTTGGCGTTTATGAAAACTTCTCTTCAGTGGCAATTAAGTTATGTAAAATTCATTTTCAACTTCTTGTTCTTCTCATCCTAATGTTCAGTCTCAACTTCCAAGTAATCCTAAATCTTCTCATGTTTTTGAAGTGCAACTAATATGTTATATTTAGTGGCAATCAAGATATGTAAAATTCATTTTCAACTTCTTGTTCTTCTCATCCTAATGTTCAGTCTCAACTTCCAAGTAATCTTAAATCTTATCATGTTTTTGAAGTGCAACTAATAGGTTATATTTTTGAGGTTTTTGTGTCTTATGTTCCCCTATTCCAGACCAAAGGATTCTCTAGACATTTGTTAAGATCCTCCACCTTCTTCTCCAGTTGTAATAGCTCTTGTCCAGTGTGTACAAGAAGTACAATATCGGGAACTAAAGGTTTATTAGAAAAGGAATATAACAGATTCTCCTCAACAAAAGCAATCATCAGAACTGAGTATAGAAATACTAAACAAATTCAACGTAATCCCTGGATTTTGCATCCTACTTTCAAATTTGTTTCCTACCACAAATGGACTTCTTCTCCTGCAGCAGTTAATAGAAATATATCTTCATGTGATTACGTCTCAAGAAATATACATGATGTTCTACTAATTCCAGCGTACAAAATAGTTTCTTATGATGGATAACGACATTGAAAAGAATGATACAAGATAAGTCAACACCTTCTTATTAGGAAAGCCAGTTAGTTTTAAATGAGTATTTACTATAAAGGAAAAATCTCATATTACAATTCACAAATATAAGGAAAGAATTGTAGATAAGGGGTTTGCACAAACTTATGAAAGTTGCCAACCCCAAAAGTTGTTCTGTACTCACAAATTTGAATTCAATAACAATTCAATTTTTCCCGCGTGAATAGTCTAGATTGGCTTCTTAACAGTTTCATGTTATGGTGATCAAGAATTTTTGGAACTGTATACGGAGTTACAAACTAAAGAACTCATTGTACTCGCTAAAAGTGTCATGTCCTACAACATGCTAGCCTATTGCAATGTTCAACTATGCAACTCCCCTTCAGCGTATCTCCACAATTGAAATTAGCTCACCATTTTCCCATACAACATGTTAAACGTAGATCCTCTTTAATTCACTAATGTTTAATATAATAAAATCTATCACTGTAAACTGCATTACAAAAAAGCGATATCCATTCAATTTGAATATGATTCAACTTATATTTAACCAATAAATGTGATTACATGTGTCGCAACTACTAAAATTTCATATATATTTTCACATTTCTGAGTTCACTAACGTAGTGTAGCTGATAATGATGTTATTGAAATAAGAAGACTGAAGGGGACACAACCTACAGAGTTTCATACTAAAATGTAGGAAATGTAGATATTTTTTTCTGGAATTCAAATGACGAGATCCAGTAAAAATATGTGGAAATTACAGTATTCTGCATTTGTTTAAAGAAACATGTATGTTGGGTTGCAAACAAGGACATACGCCAATTGATCCTAAATTAGAGAAATAGCACAAACAATAGCAATATTCGATGTAAACCATATCCTAATTTTTTCTACCTTAAACCCTACATCTAATATTACTAACAGCGAAACTCTAAAAGTGGAAAATTTGCCGGTTCTCAAAATATACTATACCGAAGGAAACAAACTCCGGCCATCTTATCGCCACTTTCTGGCGGTGGATGGAAAAATGGCTAAGAAACAAGTGAGAGGTTAGAAGATGAGTGGAGTTACCTTCGCCTTTCTTCGGTTCTTCTGGCAGTCGCATTGGAGAAGACGGCCCTTGGATGTTGTGCTCAGCTTCGGCTGATTCAAATGACAATGGCGATCACTTCGTCGTCGACGGTGAAGGTCGTCTAGGTGGTCCTCCACGGCAGGGAGTGAGGTCGGCGATTCCAAAGAGAGGTTGGACGATTTCGGTGAGAGACGCGTTTGGTCTGTTTGGCTTCCACCTCCTTTGTCTTTTTTTTTTCCTTTGTTTTGGTTCAACTTTACACAACTCCTTCCCGACACAATTTTTGTCTAGTCAAATCATCTCATTAAATGGAAGACAGGTAAGGTATTAAATTTCTGCAGAGGGGCAAAATTGTTCAAATTTATCACAAAATACCATATTTGCAATGACTTTAAAAAGATGGCATTTTTGTAAATAAAAACCAAGATTTTGACATCCACTGTAATTTCCACTAATTTAATTTATTCATTAAACTCATTTTCGACTACACATTTACAATTAAATATTCAACACATAAATTCAAAACTTTTTCATACATTTTAATCACATATTCTCCAAAAATAAAATATTATTCAAAGCATAATTTTTTTTATTTTTTTAAATAAAAGGCCACCAGACAGGGCTCATATATGTTTAAAATTCTATTTTAGCACTTGTTTTGTTTTGGATTAAAATTTGATTTTAATTTAAATCAAAGTTAAACAATCAATATTAATCACATTTTTAATATGTCCCACAATTTTCAACCACACATTTTAAAAATTTCTATTACAATTTACTAAAAAAAATCTAATTTTAATTCCACCAAACGTCTTCTTAATAACCATTCAATCTTGTGTCAAACCATCTTAGCAAGTTTGACCAAGAGATTGGGGATGAAACCATTAAAACTAGCCACACACAATTGGTTGAGCCATCTAAAAATCTCATATTTTCTTGGAGATGGCAAATGGGTTGACTAGCTCACGAGCTCGAGAATTTAGCTTGTCCAGGCTTGATCTATGAATGCTTTGGGCCCGTTTTGAGACAAGTCATGGATCTAGTCAAACTCAAAATATTTTTCACGAGTTGAGCCCCAAGCTCATGAGGCACACAACGTGAGCCGACTCATTTTGAATTTATTTTAATGATCTTTTTTTTTTTAAAAAATTGTTAGTTTCTGGCTTATGTTGTAATTTTATTTATAAAAAAAATAAAAAACTCAAGCCGACCAGTTCGATTTGGCTCGTTTTGACTCATTTAGACTTGTTTGAGCTAGTAGACGGCTCGTCTCGGCTCGGCTGGCTAGACGGCATAACACAGTGCAGTATCCAAGGGTTCAAGTAGGTGAAACAGTCTCGTCAGTCACTTGGAAAAGGCTTTGTTCACATCTCCCGCGCTGAATTTCAAAAGAAGGGTGAAAAAAACCCTTCATCCCTGGCATAGGGTTTCAATTCAGCAAGTACACAATCTCCATCAAAAATTCTGATTCTTTATGAATCGTCCAGAAAAATGAGTGTTCCGATGGACATTTCCATGCCAAATCCCACTGATTGCAACATTATCGAAGAAAATGCCGTCGTTTCTGAGCTACCACTTGCCGCGGCAGCCTCCACGCCACCAATATTTAACGAGGATAAAGTCCAGGTTTCAGGTAGATAGGCTCGTAGATATACACAAGAAGTTGTTTATGATTAATTCTATGTCATTATAGTCTGAAAATTTATGCTTATGGTAATGAATGCGTAAATTGTTGAAAGATTTTAAAGTTTCGTCATTTTTAATGCAGTTGAAGTTGGCTTAAAACCCTCCAGCACTGCACGCATTGAGGATGTCCGCTCAGCCGTGGAAAGGTAAAGTTACATTTACATGTGAAATTCAAACTAAACATTACAAGCACGTCGGAGTTGTTTTGTGTTTATAAACGCGAAGACATATTTCTTTTTCCAGTTTTTGAAAATTTGCTCTGAATGGCTGGCACAAAATTATAGGCGGTTATATAAGGCACTTTGGGTTACTTTTATTTTCGTTGCTCGAGAAAGTAGTATTATTTGCTTTATCATATGATTTGTGTTACCATTTCTTTTAAATTCTGGGTATGGGTGTTCTGTTCTGTTCTGTGGGTAGAATGCTGGAAAAGAGAAGCATGAGCTATGTTGATGGTACTGTTCCAATTCCACTTGATGATTCCTTACTTGTAGACAATGTTCAGCGGATATGCATATGTGATACAGGTATTCTTTATTAGTCCATTTTAGCTTTCCGAGACTAAATACATTTATCTGAATATTCCTGGAAGCGAGTGGAAAATTTTCATCTGTCAATTTCGTGCTTTTGACATCTAAATAAAGGAAAACTGTCTTCTTTGCTGGTTTTGTAGATGTTTGGGTGGAAAAACATGATATTCTATTATTCTGGCAAGTCAAACCCGTGGTGAATGTGTTTCAGGTGATCTTTTTAGTGTTACAAGATCTTATATGTCATTTCTCTTCTAACGATTAGTTCTTAAAATTAAAATTGGGTCTACCTTGTCTTTAAATCCTATTCCAAGTTCTTGAATTCTGTAGAATATTGCAACGTACAATATATATTCTTGGTGTTAGGTGTTTTTTGTCCTATTCTTTCTTTCTCCTTTTTTTTTTATTTATTTTTTCCTTCTAGCGAATGTATACAAACACCTATTACTTGTTAGTTGGAGAGTCTCGTTCAGTATGAAGAATATTAATTCTTCTAAGCTTATAAATGAAGTGTAGCTTAAAAAGAATAGTTTGTTACTGAGAACAAAACATTAATACTTAGAAAATGGAATAGTATTTTTAGAAACGTTATGGATTTATATATTTGCATTTTCAGCTGAGTGAGGATGGTCCATGCGAAGAATTAAGTGGGAATGACCAAGATTGTAGCTTCAATGAATGGATTCTTCCAGCTAAGGAATTTGATGGCATGTGGGAAAGGTGAGTTAACTTTTTCTCATTCTAATTTGGTGAAAAAGAGATTTAAAAACACAATTGTTTCTTCTACAGCTTAGTTTATGAATCTGGTCTCAAGCAGAGGTTATTGCGATATGCAGCAAGCGCTTTGCTTTTCACTGAGAAGGGTGTCAATCCTTTCCTTGTATCTTGGAACCGGTGAGAATCTTTTGCTTATTTGGTACACATTTGAACTGCCAGTATGCTCAGGCTATACTCAATGATATAATATTCAGCCGTTGTTTGAGCTACATTATTTCCATAAGAATGCATTTTTTAATAGTGTATTGATGGAAATGTGTAGTTAAAAAATAAAAAAATAAAAATTTTTGAATTTGTGTGTAATATTATTTTATTGAAGAATGTGTGGTTGAAATAATGTCAAATCACTGTTTAAGAATGTATTATTTTGAAATAATGTGGGTCAAGCTGGGCCTCAATTAAAGTTACCCCGCTTTCTGTCTTATGTCTTTCTCTTGTCCTGTCTCCTCTATCTGTTACACTTCCTTTTTCTTCTGAGCGTCCTGATCTGAAGGTGTATTTAAAATTTTACCCTTCACTGGTTTTAATTGCAACTTGGTGTGTATCTTATGCATCAAACACTCTGCTTGTCATCATATTTTTGTCAAACTCAGTAGGAAGAAGGTGCAAGATGCTTATGAATTGTATGTACACTCCACTATTGCCCATTTAGACTGAAGCTAGACCATGAAAAATGAAAAACAGTTTCTTACCCTTTTATATTATATTTATAACAAAAGAATCATATGTATTTTTATGTTTCATCAAGATTATAATGCTCACAAGGTTTGGCAAGGTATTCTGCTCATCAACTTGGAGTTTATTGCAAATATTGTAAACCCGGGCATGGTCTAAAATACATCATCGGAAGCTGTTGCTTAGCTCTTTTATAGTTTACCTTCTTTATAGATTATTACATGTCATTTTCTACTTATATTGCTACAATTCCTTTGGGATACAGTGCACCATTTTATTAGGACAATGGCCGTGACATTTAAGATCTTACTTGAATGAGTTGTTAAAGAAAGGATAAGCTCAGACAAAGTTCCTTAAGGAGTTTGAGGAAATTTGCTCATGCGGGGATTGTAAACATGCATTTTCTGCAGGATATTCTAATATTTGAATATGAATATTGTACCAATCAATTATTTGGTTATGATTATGTCAATTTCTTACAAAACACGAGGATTAAACATATTTCAAGTTTTCTTCGTACTTATTGTATTATTCAAATTAAGCTTGTCATGGAATTACTCAGATTTTAGTGCAAGAGGCTCAAACATATTGCGGATTACCGTGATTTTTTTATTTTATTTGTGTGTGTGTGTGTGTGTAAGTAACATGGATAATTCATTAATTACATTAACCATTGATGTTTGCACTCATTAAGTTCCACAAGTAGTTCCTAATGGATTTTTACTTCCTTTTCAAATGATTTGCAGCATTATTCTTCTTCACGGGCCTCCAGGAACAGGCAAGACTTCTTTATGCAAAGCACTGGCACAAAAGCTCTCAATACGCTTTAGCTCCAGGTTCTGAGGAATGTATTGTTTTGCACACAAAATCTCTCCTTTTTAACTTCGTTTAGGTGACATCTTTTCCTTCGGTGTTTTTTTTTTTTTTTCCTTTCACAATAGATATCCACAATGCCAGTTGATCGAGGTCAATGCACATTCCTTGTTCAGTAAATGGTTTTCAGAGAGTGGCAAGCTGGTATGCTTTGATTTTATTTCCTGTAGGAGTTAAATTGCATATTCTATCATTTGTCTTTGATTTAAGATATATATGATCTAAAAAGTACCAGCATTGATGGATAATAATGATTTCTCATGGCTGAGTTCACATTCCAAGGTTATTTTGACAATGAACTTGTAGTTGCTTTCATTGTGTGCAGGTTATGGAAATTTAAGATCCTAGGTTATTTTTTTCTTCACCTATGAAGCATTAAATTATATTTATGAATCAATAAAACGACAATTTAAATGGAATGTATGCCCACAACAACTTGCAGTAGTATCAGTCTTCTGAATGAAAAAAATAAGAAGCTAATAAAGCTATCCTGTTTAAAATTTTCTGTAACTTGTCAACCAAGTATATTTAACTTAATCGCGAAGAAGATATTTTCATTTTTTTGAAAGTCATCTTTTGTTCAGTTGTTGAGATGATAAATTGTATCCAATCCTGTTGCATGATTTTGAATTATGGCCCCGCTTGAGCCACATTAATATAAAAATGAGAATGAAAAATATAATCGTTACGGGTCCCACACAAGAGATAGATTTTCAAATATGGTGACTTGATGTGATGGATAACGGTCATATTTTTCATTTTAATGAGTAAATAATGGGAAACAAACAGGAGTTGTATCATATCAGCTTCAGGGCATCCGGGACTTCAACCGTAATCTTTAGTATCTTCTCCTCTCCTTCCCTCCAGCTTTTGATTACTAGTTCTATGTTATTGTCCTGCTTATCTTAATCTTTCATTTTATTTTTTAGTTGGTTTTTATCATCATTAGCTGTCATCCATCAGTGGTTGTGGTGCATTTTTTTGTCAGGTTGCAAAACTTTTCTCAAAGATTCAAGAAATGGTGGAGGAAGAAAACAATCTGGTATTTGTCCTAATTGGTGAGAATTATTATAACAAAGATGTCAATATGACCTGATCGTGTTAGCCTTTAGCATATCTCATTCTCTGTTCAACAAATTCGATAGATGAAGTTGAAAGCCTTGCTGCTGCTAGGAAGGCTGCTTTGTCTGGATCTGAACCTTCAGATTCTATCAGGGTAATCATCTCTTTCTCGGGGGGAAAAAAAAAAAAAAAAAAAAAAAAAAAAAAAAATTTAATG